AGAATAAAGGGTTGTACTTACCTCATCACGCAGTACACCGGGAAGATAAGCAGACAACTAAGGTGCGCGTGGTATTTGACGCTTCCTGTAAAGGAATAAATGGGGAATCGTTAAACGATAACTTGATGGTTAGGCCGACATTGCAAGCAGAATTACGACATACGATTATGCGTTGGAGACCACATCCAATTTGTATAGGTGCTGATATAATTAAAATGTATAGACAAGTTCTTGTCAATAGAGATGATACAATGTTTCAGAGGGTTCTTTGGAGGGATAGTCCTGAAAAAGAAATTGAAGAATTTGAATTAGTGACGGTTACATTTGGTACTTCATCGGCGCAATTTCTAGCAGTGCGTTCTTTACATCAGGTTGCTTATGATGAAGGGAAGGATCATCCATTAGCAACAAAAATTATTCTTAACGATTTCTAAATGGATGATTTAATGACGGGGGCAGAAAGTGGAGACGAAGGATATAAAATTCATACAGAAATAAAAAATATTCTAGCTGAAGGGGATTTCAATTGCAAAAATGGATAAGTAACAGCGAAGAATTACTAAGCAAGATAAGAGTAAGCTAAAGGGATAAGGCTGAAGAAGTAAAAATAGAAATAGATAATATTACTAAAATACTCGGACTTACCTGGGATCCTTGCGCTGAAGTTTTCCAGTACTCTGTAGAACTGCCTCTTCAGACGGAACCTGTAAGTAAAAGGAAAATTATATCGGATATTTCTAGGCTTTTCGACCCGTTAGGGTGGTTGTCACCTACTATCATTTTAGTTAAAATTTTGATACAAAAGCTATGGTTAGCAGGTATAGGTTGGGATGAAGAAGCGCCCAGTAGTTTATTAAAGGAATGGATTACTTACCGCAAGGACTTAGCTTCTTTAGTGAATGTTAAAATCCCACGTTGGATTAACACTAAATCCAGCAATGTAAAGACGGAACTACATGGTTTTTCAGATGCCTCAAAAATGGCGTACGCTGCAGTGGTATACGTCAGAGTTATAGATACAGAGGGCAACATTCAAGTGGCGTTGGTTACCTCTAAAACCAAAGTTTCTCCCATCAAACAGGTGTCTATACCTAGGTTAGAACTATGTGGAGCCGTTCTATTAGCTAAGTTGATGGTGGACGTTGCGAAAACTCTAGATATAAATGTATTAGATGTGCACGCTTGGACGGATTCCGAAGTTGTTCTCGCATGGCTTAATAGCCATCCTAGCCGTTGGAAAACGTTTGTGGCCAATCGCGTTGCAGAAATCTTAAATACATTGGATACCCATTATTAGTCATATGTGCCATCTAAACACAATCCCGCGGATTGTGCCTCTCGCGGCGTGGCTCCAGGATAACTCTGCAATACTGCGATATGGTTCAATGGACCCGAGTTTTTAAGGCAATTAGTGATAGAATATAAAAAACCTAAACACTTGATTACTAAATTGGAGGAAGTAAAGGTCCATTCAGATGTCCTTGACATTTCGTTTTTAGAGAGGTTTTCATCGCTTTCAAGGATGATCAGGGTAGTAGCTTACTGTAGAAGGTTCTTGCACTTAAGAATCAAATGTGCTAACAAGGAAATAAATAAACAGTTGTCGACGACAGAACTTGAGGAGGCAATGGAGGTGTGCATTAGAAAGGGTCAAGAAGAATAGTTACAAGAAGAAATACAACAACTTACGAAGACGGGATCGTTAGGTAAAAAGGGAAGAAAGTACAAATCGTTAAATTTATTTTTGGACTCAACGGGGATAATTAGAGTAGGAGGTAGATTAGAAATGTCTCAGTTGAGTTATGATTGCAAACATCCTATACTTGTACCTAAAGATTCCTTCCTCGCTAAGCTTCTCTTAAGCGAGGCTCATCTTAAAACGATGCATGGGGGGGCCTCAAGCTATGATCGCTTACTTGAGATCTCGATATTGGGTTGTAGGGATTAAAACTTTAGTAAGGGCCTATTTTAGAAAATGCTTTACTTGTATAAGATATACAAATAAAGCCAGAAGCCAACTAATTGGACAGCTACTATCTGCTCGTGTTACACCAAATAAAGTTTTTCTGTACAGTGGCGTCGATTATGCTGGCCCGATAAACATCAGAGTGTCTAAAGGACGAGGTAATAAGTCGTACAAGGGGTATGTCGCACTCTTCGTCTGTCTGTCTACGCGGGCGATTCATATCGAAGCAGTCTGTGACATGACTTCCAAGGGTTTCTTAGCCGCTTTTAAGAGATTCGTTGCAAGGCGTGGACATTGTGCAGAACTACACAGTGACAACGGCACAAATTATGTTGGCGCTGCGCGAGAGCTGCAGGAATTAGGTAATGAAGAAAAATCTAAATTCATTCCCGAACTGGTTGAGTGATTGGCAAATAATGGCACAAAGTGGAAGTTTATTCCTCCTCACGCTCCAAACTTTGGAGGTCTATGGGAGGCAGGAATAAAGTCCACCAAATACCATCTCAGAAGGGTTAAAGGGAACTCTACATTAACGTTCGAGGAACTAACGACGGTGTTGGCACAGATTGAGGCGTGCCTCAACTCGAGACCGCTTTCTTATGTTGACCAAAATGAATTAACGGTATTAACTCCGGGTCATTTTCTGGTTGGGAAACCACTCGTTCTTGTACCTGATTCAAATTTCGAAAAGGCTTACATTTCTAGTCTCAGACGGTGGCAACTTACCCAAAGAATGGTGCAGGACTATTGGCGGTGGTGGTCACAAGATTATTTTAATCAATTTTTACAACGATATAAGTGGGCCATAGGTTGCATAGTTCTAGTAAAAGAGGATGATTTACCTCCTGGTAAGTGGTTACTTGGGAAGATTGAGTTAAAACATCCTGGCCCTGACGGAATCACTCGAGTCGTTACAGTCAAAACTAAAAATTCCCTCATAAAGAGACCTATTACCAAATTAGCTATTCTTCCTGTAGCATCATAAACTTAGTGCTTCTAAGGTATAATTTAATAATATGTATCGGTTAGGATGATGTAATAGGATGTACCTAGTTTGTAAGCATTACGAAATTGTTTTTTTTTTGTTTTGTCGTTTGTATACTTTGTATTATTTATATTAAAATTTTGTATCAGCGCTCCCCATATTACTAGACATGATGTTGCATGGTGGGCGGTTTAGATTAAGAGAAGGACATTATTCAATATTTCCTTGGTGGGCGGTATGTTTAATATTTTGTATGTGTTAACTTTACTTGACGCTTCCATAGATGGCATTGGGATCAAAATAGATCGCACTAGGGTTTCGTTGCTAAGAAAACCATGTATATGTTTTTTTTTGATTTTTGTTGAGGTGAGATTCCTTATGAATAAAGTTGTCGTAATTGAAGCAGTTGTGTGTGCTCGCCTTCGGACCTTGGAAACCTGAACACTAATGAAACTAAGATTTTCATAAAATTATTAATGCAGGCGCATTTACGAGTCAATTTGATTTAGACATGGGCAATGTGTATCACTTAAAAGAAAATATTGATATGTATCTTTTGATCACTAGGATATGTATCATTCTTTTATATCTTTATATCCTTATGTATCAGTAGATCAAGGTCGCGTTCACGACACGCATCGCATTACATTGCGTTGCTCACTCAGCGTGGCTCGCTTCGCTCAAGTCAATCCTAAGTAAGAGTGATAGATACCTATCGACCTATATATAAGACCTATAGAACTGTTTGCGTTTTGCTTGGTCGTAACATTGTGTATCTGTCTGATATATTTGGCTGCTGTTTCTTTCTAGTTATCTATTTGTTATGATCAAAAAATTAAAGTTTTCTTATTTCTCAGACATGCAGGTTTCCTCACGATGTTTTCCTTCATCGCCGAACACGTGGTAAATCAGCACTTAAAATTGCAATTAACAATTTCATTGGTGCCAGCGGGGATCGAACCCGGGTTGCTTGCGTACTGTGAAACTTACAGCGAGTGCTATTATTGTTATGATTTATAAATATTAATAGGCACTTATTCGAAAAATTTACTTAAATTTTTAGTTTAAAATAATAATTAAATAAATGATTAACGTAAATAACATAGGTAGGGTATTTTTAATAATTTTAAACTAATATACCTACGGATTTGTTCGGAACCCTGGGTGCGCGAGTCCGACTCGTACTTGACCGATTTTTTATGGATATAAACGACTACTATTTCGGTTATAAAAATTTCTTAAAAACGATGGTTTTATAACCGAAATTAGTTTTCATTGTTTACTAAAAAATTCATAGGCAAAGTACACATAGGTACAGTTTAAACCAGTATAATACTTAAATATTAACGTACCGCTTATTGACTTTAAGCCCTATGCACCAGTCATAGAGTTATCAATTTACCTTTTTGTGCCAACGTATTACAGTTTATAATGGTCAAACAACTCACTCTCTCCATCTTGCCAAAGCGCGACACAACATTCTAAATAGTGAGCTGCGAAAGAAACGTCTGTACTATGGACTTCGAAATCTTCCTGGAATGGCCACGCCGGCCGAGGAATAATAGAAAGCAGTGTGCGCAATGTGCGACACAGATGTTAGATATAAAAAGTTAAAAGATGCCTTGAGTTGAGTGAATAAGTTGTAAAGATACACTGATACAGTGATACATTTGGATGCGGATGGATATAAAGAGTGATTGATGGAAACGGATTGATTCATATCTTTTGTATCTATCTTTCCTGAGTTACCCATCTCTATTGATTGTATATACAATGATTATTGATATTTACAGTTGTTTTTTACACTTTTTTAACGTTTTCACTGTCATTTGTTTTTGCACTTTTATTTACACTGTACAATTATTTTGTTTGTTTGTTTGGCTATTTACACAGTTTATCATATTTTATTTTTATTTTATTATATTTACACAAAGTTTTATAATAATATACACATTTAAATTTTTATACACATTTTAGTTTTATTTTAATTTTAAAAATGTGTATAAAACACATTTTTTAGTTTTATTTTAATTTTATGAATAAACGAGTTCATAACTCCGTCAAAAATCTTTTTGGATCTAAGTTAACATTTAAATACATCAATTGGGCAATTTTGTGTGTCTTCAATTGTGTGCGGCGGTTATTAATCGTAAGCCCAGTCTTGCTGAATATCCTCTCGCACGGAACTGAAGTTGCCATTATGTTGCCATACTTGCGTACAAGTATGGCAAGATTAGGATAAATGTGGTGGTTATGTTGCCACCATTGCAAGGGACAGTTAAATTTCCCACTGTCGTTAAACATAGGTAGAATATTATCTTTTAAGTAAGAGTCTACTTCCTTGATGGCACACGACAAAGGTGTGCCTACTTGCTGCTGCTGCGACCCGACAATATTGTTTAAAATGGACCATGGTGAAAATTTATCTCGTACCGGTATGGAAGCTGGGGTTGAAGTGGATTGTTGGTTCTCTCCATGTAGTCGCCGTCTAATATCACTTGCAAGTATCTCTTCCAGCATTTTCTTTGCTTTTGCTGCCTCATTTGTGTCAGAGAACACATTAATTTTGTACCTTGGGTCTAAAATTGTACATACGAGAACGTGCCACTTCTCTCAACACCTAATCTTTTATCTAAGCCTGTCCGAAGTGCTGTAATTACACTATTTGTTGTAACATTAAATTCTTCCAGAAGCAGTTGGTTACACGATTCTCCAAGACAGCGTATCATGACTATGATGGTACTAGCTGTCATATAATCTTCACCTCTCATAGCTTTCGTAGCTTCGTCGAAAGGTTTTAAAATCTTGCACAGTTCGTGAAATAATGCCCATTCCTCGACAGTTAAGATTGGTAAATCTTTTCTAAGAATTGCAACAGTGGCACATATTTGATTTTCTAGTTCAACTCGCTGTAACATAGCAAACGTAGAGTTCCACCTAGTTGGTACTTCCTGTATTAAGCGCTTCGGTACTATGTCAGGCTTTTCCTGTGATTGCGCTTTTAATAATTTTTCTAGGGCTGCTGTACTTGTCTTAAAATGTCGAACGATCGTTTTAACTTTATCCAAAGAAGCTTTGACTAAATTTAGGGAATCTTCCACTATTAAGTTCAACGTATGGCCATAGCATCCGTAATGCTTCCACCCTATATCAGCTATGGCTTTTTTGACGTTAGCTGCCTTGTCACTAACAATAAAATTTATTTTATTTGTTACATTCCACTCGTTGGTAGTTTCTAGCAATGCAGCTTGAATATTCGCACTGCTGTGCGTATCTTTAAACTCTGCACATTTTAATAAAAATGTTTTAAGAACAAGATCTTTTGTTATATAGTGCCCCGTAACAGCAATGTAAGCATCATTGACCCGAGACGTCCGTAAATCTGTTGTTAGAGATAGAAATTCAATATCGTTTATTTCTTCTCTTTTTTTTCGTAGAACTGATTGATCATATAATGTGGGAATTATAATGTTAGTGACAGTTTTTCGCGATGGTAACTCGTACCCAGGATATACCTGGGTACGAGTTACCATCGCGAAAAACTCGCGCAAATTTTTTAAAGGCACGTTCTTCTACTAAAGAGAAAGGGTGATAGCTGTCTATAAATAAATTGGCAAGGTCATTATCAATTTGTCTTTTTTTTGGTTATTGTTACTTTTTTTCTAATTCCGTAGCTATCAATGCGCTGTTGCGCAGGCCGGTATATGGATATGGTATTTGCAGCAGTAGATGTAGAAGCTGACGCAACACTGGAGCTGGACAACGAGGGCTGAGGTTGGAAATCGCCTGGGGGTTCCTGCCCACGACTTTGTTCTGGGGTCCTTGCCGTTGATTGCACAGTACAAATGCATGTATACGCATGGAGGTGTTTTCGCTTCAAATGTGTTTTCAAATTCGCAGTTGAAGTTTTGAAGCTATAAACTTCACCACAACTGTTGCATTTCGCTTTTTTTCATTATCCAGTTTTTGAAAAAACTCCCACAAAGCACTAGAGTTCATTCGAGACATAATTATTTACAAGTTTTTTATTTACACTTTATTTAGAATTGTACAATCCACTCTAATTATATTTATGTTATATATAACAAGGAAACGTTACAGTAAATGTACATAAAACAGTAAAATAACATTTAAATGTTAATTTTTACAAGAGAGTACAAGTACAACGATGAACTAATACAAACTAAATTATTTAACTTAAATTGAATTTAATTTCAATGGTTTGCGCTTCCCAGAATCGCAAACCGTTGAAATTATTTACAAACAGAGATCACTCTATTTTATTATCTATGTCTATAGTCTTACGTATGAAAATTAAACGTACAATAATACTGTTACATACGCTGTTTTGTTTATTGTTGTATGCCACATGTGCGCTTTGCGCTCGACCTACCGACAGTCGTAACAACCACAGTTAACAGTAAATAGTAATAACGCATTTACAAAAATCACTACTTGTACTAAGGCTTGAAACTAGTGATTCGGTTACATGCCGCGTAGCCAGTTATTGTATCTAGTGACGTGAAATAACGCCCACGTCTACTACGTAGTAGTTCGCGTCTCGTCTCTCTAATCTCACGCACCGCACGCAAGCACAGAATGACTGCGCTTTATACAAAATTAATGACTATCCATCATTACAACCCTTCACAAGTCCACTGCTGAACATAGGCCTCCCCCAAAGAATGCCACAAAGCACGGTCCTGAGCCACCTACATCCATCGACTTCCTGCATATCTTACCAGGTCGTCACTCCATCTAGTGGGTGGACGCCCTACACTTCGCCTGCCGGTACGAGGCTGCCACTCAAAAACTTTTCTTCCCCATCGGTTGTCGGTTCTTCGAGCCATATGGCCGGCCCATTGCCACTTCAGCTTACTAATCCGTTGGGCTATGTCGGTCACTCTTGTTCTACTGCGGATATCCTCATTTCTGAGTTTATCACGCAGAGAAACTCCGAGCATAGCCCTCTCCGTAGCTCGCTGAGTGACCTTGAGCTTCCTCATCCGGCCAGCAGTGAAGGACCACGTCTCAGTTCCATATGTCATCACTGGCAACACGCACTGGGTGTACAGTCTTGTTTTTTTTTTTTTTTTTTTTTTTTTATAGGAGAGGGGGCAAACGAGCATGCGGCTCACCTGATGGTAAGTGACTACCGCCGCCCATGAACAACCGCAACACCAGGGGAATTGCAGATGCGTTGCCGGCCTTTTAAAAAGGAGTAGGCTCTTTTCTTGAAGGTCCCTAAGTCGTATCGGTCCGGAAAAATCGCTGGTGGTAAACTATTCCACAAGGAAGTTGTGCGAGGAAGAAAACATCTTCTAAATCGCACAGTGGTGGACCGCCAATCATCCAGATGGTGTGGATGGTATCGGGAGTTCTGCCGCGATGTGCGTTCGTGAAATTTGGCGGCTGGGATTAATCCGAACAATTCCTCAGAGCACTCCCCATGGTAAATGCGAAAGAAAATGCTAAGAGATGCAACATCTCTTCGCAGTGCCAATGAGTCGAGCCGATCGGAAAGGACTCGGTCGTCGACGATTCGAGCCGCTCTGCGCTGGATGCGGTCAAGTGGAAGAAGCTGGCACTGGGGAGCCCCAGCCCAGAGATGGGAACAGTATTCCATGTGAGGCCGAACCTGCGCCTTGTAAAGTTGCAGGCGTTGAGCCGGCATGAAATACTGTCCCGCTCTGCTGAGCACGCCAAGCTTTTTAGAGGCCAATTTGGCCTTCTCTTCCAAGTGACCACGAAACTGCACGCTACTCGATATGTCGACGCCGAGGATTCCGATACTGGCTGAGGCAACAAGGGGAGTACCTTGAAACTGAGGAGATACGACAAAGGGGTTCTTTTTAGCGGTAAACGCGCAAACTTGTGTCTTCTGAGGATTAAACTGGACTAGATTTAGTCGCCCCCAATCCGAGACTTTGTCCAGCAAAGACTCGACTTCAGACACAAGTTTGTTCCGGTACTCGGTGACGTTTTCCCGAGAAATATTGGCACGGCCGGTGTATAGAGCATCACCAGTGCTGTCATCTGCATAGCAATGAATGCTACCAGCTTGCAACATATCATTGATATGCAGAAGAAACAGCGTTGGTGATAGCACGCAGCCTTGTGGAACACCAGCGTTAATAGGCTTGTAGTCGGAGCATGCACCGTCTACAACGACCTTGATGCTCCGATCTGCAAGAAAGCTGGTGATCCAATTGCATAATTTCTCGGGAAGCCCATAGGAATGGAGCTTCGAAAGAAGCGCTTTGTGCCAAACCCGATCGAAGGCCTTCGCTATGTCCAAACTAACGGCCAATGCCTCCCCCTTGGACTCTACTGCCAACGCCCATCTATGAGTTAAGTAGACCAGAAGATCACCAGCTGATCCACCCCGACGAAAACCGTACTGGCGGTCACTAATCAGCTGGTGATCCTCAAGGTACCGCATGAGGTGGCAGTTTACAACGGATTCCATTATTTTGGAGAACAAGGGGGTGATGGCGATAGGCCTGTAGTTGGACGGATCTGAGCGGTCGCCTTTTTTAGGGATCGGGTGGACAAAAGCTGTCTTCCATGATTTCGGGACTACGCCTAGGGAGTAAGAGTACCGGAAAAGACGCGTTAGAACCGGTGCCAACTCCGGAGCACACGTCCTCAGCACAATTAGGGGGATTCCGTCAGGCCCACTCGACTTGTGGATGTCAAGGGAGAGGAGTGCTCTGCGAACCGAGCGCTGTGAGAATCGCACATCCGGCATGGAGCACTCACACCGCGGGATGGTCGGCGGTGTGTTCCCCCCGTCATCAACAGTCGAGTTGGACGCAAAAAGGGAGCCTAAAAGGTCGGCCTTCTCTTTTGCGTCGTGGGCCAGTGAGTCGTCCTCCCTGTGCAGAGATGGTAGTGATGGCTTACAGAAATTCCCTTGGACAGCCTTGGCGAGAGACCAGAATGCACGGGTTCCCGAAGGAAGGCGAACTAGTTTCTCGCCAATTCTGCCTATGTGCTCTGACTTTGCCTTGGCAATAACTCTTTTGAAGGACCTGGAGGCGAAGTTATACTTCTTTTTGAGTGTGCTGGTGTTTACATCCCGAGTCACCGAAGCCGCAGCCCAGGCTTGATAACACTCCTGCTTACTGCGTAATGCAGTCTTACAGGAGCGACCAAACCAAGGCTGAGATCTGCCTCCGATGGGTACCACAGATGATGGAATAAATAGTTCCATTCCCTGTAGCACTACATCAGTGACAGAGTCAGCAACAGCGCTGGGATCATCCGGCGAGAAGCAAACCCGCCCCCATGGATAGGAAGCAAAGAAAGACCGCATTCCGTCCCAATCCGCCGACCTGTAATGCCAAACACGGCGGCAACCTGCAGAACGCAACCGCGAGGGGAGCGTGAGTGGCACCACACTCCGGATCAGACAATGGTCCGAAGAGCCAAGAGGGGCATCGACGGAAACCTGATATCCGTCCGGATGAGAGGTCAGCAGAAGGTCCAACAGGGAAGGTGTATGATCCTCAACATCTGGAATCCGCGTAGGCGATGTAACCAGTTGTGTCAGACCATATGCCAAGGCAAAGTCATAAACAGATCTCCCCGCATGATCGGTTAAACGTGAACCAAGCCATTCGGCGTGGTGGGCGTTAAAATCGCCAAGGATCACGATCTCTGCGGATGGGACCTGTTGTAGCAAGGAATCTGTAGCCATTTGGACGTGGTCGATGAGTCGGTCTGTTTCGGCATTACCGCTATGGGACCTATAGAGGCACACGTAGACGCGCGGATGGTCGTCGCTGTCTACGCGTAGCCAAAGGATGGACAGGTCCGAACCTTCAAGACTGCCGAGGCGTCGAGAACAGATGTCCTCTCTGACATACACGCAAACTCCAGCCCGAGGCACAAAGGAGTGCTCCAATTTGTACCCCGGGTAGGAGAGATACGAAGTATCAGCCGGAGAGGACACCTGCGTCTCGGTCAGAAAGAGCAAGGCCGGCTTCGCCGTCTCAAGATGGTAGTGGACGGCGTTTAGGTTCGAGTGAAGTCCCCTGATGTTGCAGAAATTCACGGATAGCGTGGCAGGGGTCGCCTTGGTCTTGTTGCTCAGTTTGCCCCGAGCAGTTATTGTGTTGAGCGGAATTTTGCCCCCCCCAGAATACGCGGGGCAGCCTGAGCACCCACGCTCAGGAGTGGAATAGCATGGTCGTGGATGCTCAGCGAGGGATTCTCCAGGGGTACTGGTACCCTCCTGGGGTAGTTTTTGACGTAATTCCGCTACCATGTTGATGGGGGGGGGGGGGGGGGAATTGGGCATCCGGTCACCTGCACTCACCAGACGAAACGCGGAAGCAGAGCTTCCACTTCACGCCGGTATTCTGTGAGGTCGTGGTACTAACCCGGCTCGAGCCGGCCCATACGTGCAACAGCAAAAGCTGCTGCAAGGCTCTACCACCGTTGAAACCGTTGTTTTCAAGCTTTTAGGTATACCTGACGAGAAGATGTGCCGTAATTTCCCGAACGCTGCCCGAGTTGATTCCGTCGA